CAAAAAGATATAACACTGCACTAAATTAGTCACTCTCTCTGTAAGGTTCTATTTTCATCAGTGAGACATGTATTTCCACATTGGGACAACAAGAACTTTTTTTTCCTGAAAAAAAAAGAGAAATAACATTGAGACAGAGAAATTGGGCAGGAGGGGATGGACCTCCCAACGTACTTGAAAGCATTGAGGGACTGCTTAACAAGATATTTCAGAGAAGGGAAGATACCAAAACAATAGGGAAAAATCATGATCTGCATAAGCAATTAATCATTCAGTTAGCATTTTCAGAGTGCCTCAAGCTCTATGCTAGGTGCTGGAGAGACAAAGACAACAGTGAAATAGTTACTAATGTCAAGAAGGTTACATTTTATCAGGAGAAATAACATGTATGTACACAGTAACGTGCAATTTCATTAAGCATACCACATGTTTTGTTTTGTAATATCTTCATATGTCAAAAACATTACCCCCAAAGGGCTATCAGGAGACCTATAAAAACTATTAGTTCATAAATATACTTTCTCACCTATATAAAATATTCAGTATAAAGGTCTGTAGTACATGCATATTATGATATAGTCCTAACATGTAAAAAGGGAAGGATAAAGCAAAGAAAAAAAAACTGTAGATCAATGTCACCAACAAACATTACTTTAAAATTTTAATATTAAATCTTGGATAAAAAAGCCCACAACCCAACAATAACAAAAGTGCAACAATCGGTTTTAAAAATTTCTGTAAGATTGATTAGATTTATATAAGAAATACAAGGATAGTTCAACATTAGGAAAATAATTGACATGATAATAAGAACGAATACCATTAATATGCATAACATGATAAGAAAATATCATTAATATGCATGATATAAAGATGATCATACATATAAATTATGTAAATATAAATGATATAGAGATTCAGAAATCAAAACCTCTGACCAAGTGTCACATACATTCATACCTAAAAATCACACTGTACAAAAGATGTGCTTAGAAAGATTTAAAAAAATCTATTTAAAATCATGTTGATGTTGTATGAATCAAATATTAATATTATAGTCTAGTTAAGCGGTAGAAATTTTCCTAATAAAGATGCACATGCATCTCAAGAAAATCTTGTACGGCAGACCACATGTTGAGAGTCATACAATTAACTGAAAAAGTCCAAGTAATACAAGTTCTGAAAGAGCATATCTCCAATTATTTTGCGTGTATGTTTTGACTTATTTAAGATTCCTTGAAAAATGCAATCCTAATTTTCTCTTCAAAAACTCTGAGTATCATCAAGTATGACATAAAACTAGGAGGTAGATGTCTACCAAAGGTGTCACCACAATGATGGTGGACGTCTTGAGTAGTTTCAAATGGAAAAGATTCCCTGCATCTGGTAAGGTTCTTCAGTTGCTTCTCTTATAGGCAGCTAGCTGGCTGTTCCCCATGTCTGGAACACTCTCCTTCCTTATCTCTGCCTTCTGTTTGCATGTTGTCTCCCATGTTAGCCCATGAGCTCCTTGAGAACAAGGGCTCTCTTTCGTCTTTCTTTGTATCTGCAGCACTTAATACAGTGCCTGGCACACAGCACGGGTATTTAAAAAGGCTTATTGGCTGACTGAAATCATCACCTGCTCTCCAAAACTAGAAAGATGCTTGGAGCATTGAAATATTAAATGATTTGCCTAGAGTTACTTGCCCAGTATCTGTTGGAGCTAGGGCATGAACTCAGGTCTAACTGGCTTCAAGGCTGATTATTCAATAAGCCACTCACCTTTCCTCCTGAATAAACCTGCTTTATAAATAACTTGGAGAATGAATGGATGGATGGATGAATCCATCCTTTTAGTCACAACACTATATTGCTGGTTCATATTTAGGTGTTTTTTGTTTGTTTGTTTTTTACTAAGCTGCGACTATCTGCTCAATAAACCCATTTCCCTTCATGAGAAGCAGCATGCTATGGGCCATAGCCTGCTTGACTTGGAGTGAGGAGGACCTGGATTGAAATGGTGATTCAAACACTTCCAGTTGTGTGTCCCTGGATAAGTCATTTAACTTCTCTGTGCCATAGTTTCCTCATCTTCAAACGGAGGGATTGGACCTGTTAGGTGCCTTTCATCGTTCTTTCAGTTCCCTCTGCTTTCTCCATCCCTTCTGGTACCTTTTGCATGACTCTTTTTTTTTTTCTGTGAAGATTTTATAACACCACTGTTATCTCATCTAGCATGGGTTCAGCTGGTTTTTCTGAATTGCCTCCACAGTCTCTTGAGGCCTCAGTGATGCTAATTGGTCAAACAAGGGACTTGGGATAGATGTTCTCTAACATCTTTTCTAGCACTAATATTCTATTACTCTCTGTTTCTCTTGAACTCAAGACCCTCTGACACTCTGGAAGTTCCCAATGGCAAAAGATGACTTTGTCAAACACTGTGGGCATGTGTGCCCATTATCACCCTCTGCCCTCTCACCTTGGGCTTGCACATTTTTTGACCTGAAGCAGCTCTGCTTGGTTTCATCCTGAGATAATGACATTTAACAGAATCGCAGGAGCTATGTGTCAGAAAAGACCTCTGATTCCAGTTAGTCCAAAGTACATATGAACTAGAATCCTCTATACAACCTTCTGAAAAGCAGCCTTCCAATCTCGACCTGTAGGCCTCTGGGAATGGCAAACCCAAGACCTACCAAGGCAGCCTATCCTTCCTTTAGGAACCCCTCCCCCCGCTGTCCCTATCCACCACCATGGTAAGCCCAAATCGAATTCTTTGTTACTTCTACTCATTTTTCTGTCCTCTGGAGCCAAGTAGATCAATTCTAATCTCTGTTCAGTATGAGCCATTCTTATGTGCAAAAACAGTGATCAATCCTTGTGCTTTCCTCTCCAGATAAAACTTTCCCAGACCCTTTGGCCAGATTTCTGAAGTCAGAAGACCTGGGGTTAAATTCCATATTTGATACTACTTTAGGCAAGCCACTGAATCTCTCTGATCCCTAGTCTCCTATTTGTAAAATGGATTGGAAGAGATGAGCTCTCAGTCCTTTCTAGATGTGGACTTTATAATTTGTTGATCCTACAATCCTATAGTCTTGAATATTCTTGTTATGGTATCCCTTTTCTGAGTTTGTCCTGTTTGTCAATGTCTTTCCTAAAATGCCATACACCAAACTCCACATAACCCTCTGCATATATTATTACCATAGTAGAGTTGGCTAGACTTAGTACCTCACTTGTTCTGATTATGAGACCTCTCTCAATGCAGCCTTTAATACAGCTTAGTTCTTTAGGTTGCCACCCTTACACTCCCTTGATTCCCATTGTACTTAAGTCCACTAACACCCTTCGGAGTTATCCTGATACTTATCTGCAAAGGTGGGATTTGCCTTTATCAGACACACATGCTGTGTAATCAAAACAAACCTGTCTTATGGATTTAATCTTTACTGTTATTAGTCCTATGAGGATGTTTAAAATAAAAATTAATGAAGCAGAGGGTTATTCCAAGGGGTTTTAGTCCATTCACCTAATAGATTGTGTTTACATATGTAATTAATGCAACTGCTTTGGGGTTTCTAGTTAGAATTTTGACTCTTGCTTCAACACCCAAATAGTTTCTTTCTCTTTTTCAGAGCTATAATTAACATGGGCTTTGTCCTAGAGTACGTCTAACAAAGGTCTGCTTCCCTGATCCCTACCCTCACTGTACTTCCTTACCCTCTGGAGTTGTGGAACTCAATTTGTATTGCTATGAAATATAAGCTTCTTGAGGGCAGGGGCTGTTTTGTTGTTGTCTCTGTATCCCTAGGGCTGAGCACACATCTGGTGCTAGATGCAAGCTAATTGAATTGTATTAAACAGCTTCTGTCAGACTCCCTGGGCCATGGGCCAATTCCTGCTGGCAAGACTACGAAGACCCACTCCATCCAACACCAAAGAGTGTCTTCTGTGTCCTTCCATCCCTCAGCACCTGCTCAACTCAAATAACTCCAAGCTCCACTTCAACTGGTTGTCTGTCTTTCGGTTTCTCTGTCTCTGTCTCTGTCTCTGTCTCTGTCTCTGTCTCTCTTTCTCTCTCACTGTGTATCTATCTATCTATCTATCTATCCATCCATGTATCTATACCTATATATGTTTCTTTTCTTTTTAAATTCCAAGAAATGAAATTTTTAACTGGCCCATTGTTAAAAACTTAAGCTACATGCCAATTATGTTAGCTCATATTTAGATTCTGTGCAAGCCACCATGATTGTTTGCATTGTAAAAAGGTCTGGAAAGGAAGCTAATTTATCCCCAATGCTCATGTATAGCTTGAGCTATGGAATACCTGTTTAAGGGTTCATTATTGTGGATATATAGAACAGATGAATTAGCATTGGACTGAGATTGGTCTTTTTTAATGTTTCTGGTTTTGAATTCTGGCATTTAAAAAAAATTGCTCCTCAGTACTATAGGTTTTGAATGATGGCGTATTTAAATATTTAATGGTGTGATTGTTAGCATGTTATTGCTTCTCAGGCATCAACCCAGAGTCTGAATTCTAAACCCTATGAAAATGGATTATATTGAAAATTAGGGTTGAGCTGCTGATGGATTTTAAAATGAATCTTTGGCATTATATCCCTCTCCAGTTCCTTAAGTCACAGCCCAGTGCTTATTATCTTTCCCTATGGCCAGGATTATAGAAAGGGATTCATCAATAGTATTTGCACAATAGCCTTTTGCAGTAGGTGGGCAATCTGTGACCTCTTTTCTCCATTTCTACTCTATGGTTGAAATGAACAATATTATTCATCCTGTGAGTAGACCAGGTGGGATAACGTGGTCGCCTTACCATTGAGGACTTTTGTGTATCTTTTCATTTATGCCATTTTGGTTGTTTATTCTGCAGTCTGTGACTGAAATACTTGGCAAATGGATGTTGGCAAAGATCTCCTTTTTTCATTAATTCTAACTCACCTGGCCACTGTCTAACTCCTAGTCTAAAAACCAGTTCATTGTCTCTTTTCTAGAGCATGATGAATGTGGTAGCGCCCAACACACCTGTGATGACAATGCAATCTGCACTAATACTGTCAGGGGACACAGCTGCACCTGCAAGCCTGGATATGTGGGCAATGGAACCGTCTGCAGAGGTAGGTCCACGGTTTGGGCAATTTTATCAGAGCTGCAAGTTTGATTAATGTAGGTCTCACTATCTGGGTTCTTATAACTTCTGGTAGCCAGGTTCTCTCACAGCTTTAGCTTCTATTGTATTATCTGACATTTGCTACATACATTGAGGTGATGAAGGGGATTGAGTTGTCCTTTGCTTTCCATCTTTCCATTGGAAAAAATGCCCCACTGACCACCCCCAAACCTTTGATCTCATGGGCGTATGGATCCCCCAATATGAAATTACATCAAGTGGTGCAGTTCAGCATCTTGTTTGTAACAGTCAGCGAGTTTTGCCTTTGGAACCAGTATAAAGTCACTTATTCATACTGCAAGGCTAGTTTACATCCCAAGCAGAACTTGAATGTAGGTCTTCTTGGTGCCAAGACCTGCTTTATATCAGCTACACCAGGTATTCCCAATGTTTAGTGGTCCCCAGATACACTGGCTCTCAGTAAGCCTTTTGACAATGCCTATTTGAAATGAAATGAATTAAATTTTATAGTTGACTATGCATCTACACATAAGAAATGAAAAGTAAGAATGTGATACACTAAAATTTTGAAGCTTCCTCAGTTGGTATTAATTTAAAAAAATAAAATATAAACTTTTCCATATTCATTTGACAAGTTTTTTCATACCTCTTGGGAAGGCAAAGCACATACACTCCCAGGCTGGCAACATCCAAACTTCTCCATCCTGTAACTCTAGCATCTCTCCTTGAAATGAATTTGTGGTGATGCTCCTAACATCTAACGTCGGCATCTTTCTTTTCAACATAATGCTGCCAAGAGGTAAATGAGTAACATCTATATACCGCAAGCAGAGAATCTATATAGTAAAGCTACTCTAAGTCCTGTCTACTATTAGGATCTGAAAGCAGTTGAAACATTTAGGAACTTGGAGCTTAGCATTTCAAAATAGGCCAAAGGTATTTCATGAAAATGGAAAAGGAAGAATATTTGCACAGAGAAGAAGCTGCTAACCAGGGCTGCATGCTAATGCTGTTGAATTGAGTAGCATGGCGATTTACTTTTAATGCATTTTCTGAAATTAGATCTCCACATAAAATAATATTAATTGGCCTCTTTTGGTGAGCTTATATTTGCTGATTCCTCCAGTGCTGTTGTGATAAGTATCTACCTCATCTCAGTGGAGTTTTCAAGACCAGCTGTGAAATGTATTAGTTCAAAAAAGGTCTTGGAGCCCTTTGATTCTGAAGGGAAGTGATTTTGCCTTGAATTTTATGAATTGTGAAATAGACTTTCTTGAAGGGATTCTTGTCCAATCAAGTTGAACTTGAGTATTTGCTATTGCTTTTCTTGCCTTTTCTTCTTTTTCCTCCCCTTCCTCCTCTACTTTCTTCTACTCTTGCTCCTATTTCTTGTCTTTCTTTCCCCTTTCCCTTCTTCTTTCCCCTTTTTTGTCTTTCTTCTTCCTCTTTCTCCACCCAAACATGAGCATAATTAAGGTGTTATATAGAGAAATTCATACTTCTGGACAAAAAACATACTTCTTTCCAATTATGATTTGATGAAATATTAGCAATAGCATTAACACATAATATTAGACATAAATATCAGAAGCAGTAATAATTTGGATGAATTCTATCACATGGATTTTTTTCTCTGAATTGCTCCTACCTATGTAAGGACATATATTCATGTGAGAATGAGGGGAAAATTGAGAAGTATTAGTAAAACTATAAGAGACCTTAGAGATCATATTTTTCAAGTCCCTAATTTTACATAACCTATCAGAGTTAAAACAAAGGAGGAAGAAAAGATAAGGTTAAAATTTACTGATTTTCATACTTAAATTCATATAAACTTTAATATTTTGATGGAGAAAGGGTCTTAAGATATTTCTCCATGAAATGATATGGCAGCCAAAAAAGAAAGTTAATATAATCTTAACTTTAAAATAAAAGGGAAGCTTGTGCTGTTCCTGGTCAGATCACATTCAGAATATGTAATTAACTTATGGCCATTCTACTGATAATCTGAAGAGCATACAGATGGGGTAGGACCTCAAAATCATGTCATATGAAAGACAATTGAAGGACTTGGGGATGGTCAGTCTTTGAAAAGATGACTTGGGAGGACATGAGGGCTGTGTTTAAGGCCATTTGTGATGTCATGTGGAAGGGGGATTCAGCTTGTTTTATTTGGCCCCAGAAGCCAGAAGTAGGAGCAAATAGAAGAAAAATTAGAGTCAAATGCAGGAGTGACATACAGAACACACACACACACACACACACACACACACACACGTGTACTTCCTGATATTTATCTATAATTGATTGGAATGCTTTAGAAGTTCTTTACTAGAGGTCTTCAAGCAAAGACTGAATAGGAACTTGACTCTGCTGTAAATGGAATTCATATTAAGGTGCAGACTAGGTTCAATGGCCTCTGAAGTCTCTTCTTACTTTATGTGTATAGTTCTCTGAGATTCAGGCTTTTTCTCCATGATTTCACATGTACAAGAAAACTGGAAACTTGAATCAGCTAAACAACAACAGCAACAACATTTCCATAATGCATACAGTGTGTCTAGCACTGTGCTAAGCATTTTATAAATATCTCAATTGATAGTCACAACAATCCTGATAGGTAGAGTCTATTATCTTTATTTTACATTTGAGGAAACTGAGGAAAATAGTGGTTAAGTGACTTGCTCAATATTACATACCTGGTAAATGTTTGATTCAGGATTCAAACTCAGGTCTCCTTCACTCCAGGTCCAGCTCTCTATCACTGTGCCACCTAGCTGCATTAAATATTCAGAACTTTGCCATCATAGGTGGCATTGGAGTTGAATGGTGAGAAGTGAAATCTCTTATTTGAACTCTTTTTCCCGCATTTTTTTTGTGTGTTAAAAAATGTTCGGCATTGAGACAATATATCCTGACAATATTGAGTAAAATGGGGATTGGAGATTATCTCTCCATGCCCTTTCCATTGCTTGTTGGCTGCAGTTAAGTTGTTGACTGTTGGTAGTTGATAGGCTAAGACCTGCATCTTATCTGCCACAAACAAACGTAAGAAATATTTAAGAAGCTTTGATCCTGGGGGAAAAATCTTACCTCAAGGCTGATGATATCCCAGACCTATACAGAATTGCTAAGGTGGAATGTGAGACTAGAATCTAAAATAAAGGAAGGAAAGGAACAAGTCAGCTAAAATAAATGACTTTAATACCATGAGGATCCATTATAACACCTCTGCGACTCTTTCATGTCTTAATAAAGAATCTTTGTGGGTTGGTGTGGTGGATACATTCATCGCCTTGTGGGCCGTGTTTCAGTGGCGATACTCTCTAAGCATGACTAGTCCTTCAAGAATACAAAGTTCTCTCCTGAGTCTATACATCCTTCAAGAACTTCTGGGAATGGAGCCACGATGACAGAGTAAAGAAACTGCTCATCTGAGTTCTCCCAACATTCCCCTCCAGACAAATTTAATATAATGCCTCAAATCAAATTTTTGAGTGGCAGAACCATCGAAAAGATCAGAGTGAGACATTCTTCCAGCCCAAGACAACAAAGGAAGTTAGACATAGTTCTATAATGTGGGGGAGGAGGTTGGCCCAGAGCCCACATGGATGAAATACCAATGGTGGGACTAGGTGGTGGTGACAGAAGCAACAGTAGCTGTGGGTGTCCTAAAGCCAGAGATAGTAAAGGGACCTGAAAACTAGTCAGAAAGAGATTATAGTGGACCCACGTGCTAGCACTATATCCAGTGCCAGATATTGTTTACCAATTCCATTGTCTATACCCACACCCACTTCTGGGTCATAGCTCAAGGTCAGAGAGGAGCACTTTCAGTCAAGGAGTGGAAACCTTAAAAGGCAATAATACTTCTGGTCCCAAAATAAGAGGGACCCAGAGGAACAGTACTGTTTTCAGTCCCAGGAAAAGATGAGACCCTGAGGAGCAGTATCAATTATAATACCAAGGGATCAGGGACCCTTCCTGGGGAAGGAAGAAAAAATGGACAAGAAGAATGAAGGAAAGTACAAATGTACTTTTGAAGTACTCATGAAGTAATTCAGAGTACACGTGAAGAAAGCAGAGATCACACCTCTCCCCAGATCACACTGTCTTGGAAGCACCAAAAACTTCCAAGCCCTCAGAACTAGCTCTGAAAATGGCATTGTAAAAAAAAGCCTGAAGCTTGAAATAGTGCCCCTCCTCCCACGCCAGGAATAGGGCCCAACATTAACATAAAGTTCCAAATCAAGAAATAGGGTGGAAACATAAGCTAACAACAAAAAAAGAACCTATCCATAAAAATCTACAGTAGTCACAGGGAAGATCAAGATACAAACTCAAAAGAAGACAATGAAGTTAAAACAACTGCAAGCAAATTCTCAAAGAAAAAAAAACGTGAATTGGACAGAAGCCCAATAAGAATTCCTGGAAGAGCTAAAATTATTTTTCAAAATCAAGTAAGAGTGGTAGAGGAAAAATTAGGTAAAGAAATGTAACCTAAGAGAGAAAATTATGAAAAGACAATTAATAGCTCAGTAGAGGAGGTACAAAAAATACTGAAGAAAATAACGCCTTAAAAAACACAATTAGCCAAATGGTAAAAGAGGTACAAAAACTCATTAAAGAAAAAATTCCTTAAAAATTAGAATTAGGCAAGTGGTAGCTAATGAGTCCATGGGATATCAAGAAACAATAAAACAAAATCAAAAGAATGAAAAAAATGAAGATATTGTGAAATATCTAATTGGAAAAAAAAACATCTGGACTAGAAAACAGATTGAGGAGAGATAACTTAATAATTATTGAACTATCTGAAAAACATGATCAAAAGAAGACCCTAGATACCATATTTCAAGAAATTGTCAAGGAAAACTGCCCTCATATCCTAGAATGAGAAAGTAAAGTGGAAATTGAAAGAATCCATCAAACATCTCCTGAAAGAGATCACAATCGAAAACTCCCAGGAATATTATAACCAAATGC